TAACATAACTGGAACTATAACACCAAATGTTTATGTCCAATAACTGGAACCATAACACAAAAATTATGATGTCTAATAATATGAACTATAACATGTCCAGTAACTAGAACTATAACACCAGGTATTATGTCCAATAACTGGAACTATAACACCAAGATGTTGAATAAATGGAACTATGATACAAAGTACTATGTGCAATAACTGGAGCAAACTAAACACCATCATATACAATGTCCAACAATAGTAGCATCATATATAAATAATAACTTCAAATCTGAAACTCTCAGTGGGAAACACAACTGAATGATATATTCAAAAGGTGGTTATAAGATAAAATTTGAAAACAATATAAAACAGAAAGCCACATGAAAAGGCAACAACAACCAAAAAAAAAAAAAAAAAAAAACCACTGGACTTTTGTGAAATGACCTTTGAGATAATTGTTGATGTTCTGGACAATTTGATCACAGTTTCAACACTGCCACCAGTTGCAATCTTAATGGTTTGTCCAGCTACAGATTTTTCCTTTTAATAAAAAAAAAAATAAAAAAAAATTCTAAATTCACCAAAACCATATGAAAGCTGTTAAAATTTAGAAGAGAAAAAGCCAAGGAACTATATTTTAAAGTGAAATTTGGTTCTGGTTTAATTAATGTTTAATAAAGAATCGACCTCACTGCACTGCACATGGAACATGCCCATAAGCACTCCCTAACTATCTTCAGCAGCAAAGGTAGAGTTCCAATTCCACAAATGGTAGTAACCCATAAGTGCCCTGTTCTTTCAACGCAAGTCTGAGTCTGAAGATATTCAACACAGTGCACAGGCTCTGTAGCACTGGTGGGGATCCTGAAATACTTTGGGTAGATTTTTAACTCAAAATTTTGCCTGGGCAGCACCGTTAGGCTACTTTTTTCAATTTCCAACTGCTAAAGGATTTTTTTAACGTGAGCAACAATGCACACCAGCGTCCGATCTCACTACCCCGAGACCAGGAGGAATTACTAGAACTTCAAGTCTACAGGAAAAAATCCCAGCCTTACTGAGGATTAAACCCAAAACTTTTCGGTACTCGAGGCCTGGAAACTATGCAACACCCCACCAAACACAAACTGAGAGGAACTGACCTCTGACCATACTAACTGAAGATATACTATCAGACCAGACATGGTCTTGAACTGTGTGAAAGGGGACTGCATTAACCAGCAGATGAGAAAACCATGTTTTGCAGCTGCAGGATTCCTGCTCAAAGAGCATGGCAGAGGTAAAGAAGCTTTAGATAAGGTTAGCTCAGTGGAGAAAACCGACAGGGAATTGCTCTTGCAGAGGCCATGGTTGACTCCGATATGGTATGCATCAATGATGGGAGGCCGACTAGAATGGCAATGAGGCCTGGAGATGCAGACACAGCCATTGACTTGACATTTGTCTCTCAGTTGTCGGTTTTAGATGTTAAATGGACTGTCCTGAATGACCATGGGAGTGATCACCTACCATGTTCAGTCTTGATTTCTAAACACAGTAAGGTTAAGGTTGGGAGAGCACGCAAGACCTTCCAGTATAAGTGGACCAACAACCTACTTGGACGCCTCAGACAGGGAGCATGCAAAAGAACTGCCAGAACTAATTCTCTACAGCCCCCATGGTGGACTCCAGAAGTAGAACAGGCATGGAAGGCAAAGAGAGCCGCAGTGAAGCAGCTAAAGAAAGTACGACAGACACCCTCAAGCTCACGAGAGGAAGTGGAGATGGCGGAGAAAGTGAAAAAAGATAAGGTGGAAGTTTTCAATCGCTGTGCTGCAGAGGCCATAAGAGAAAAGTGGGAAACTTTTGTGAATTATATGGGAGGCGATAAAACATTGGGGAAATTCTGGAAACTGCAAAGACAAATGCAAAGAAAAGATCGGCCTATGACAGTCGGAACAATTTGTAGAGACGATGGTGTGCGTGTGACAACAGACAAGGAGAAAGGGAAGGCTTTTCTCCATAGGTTTATAGCTCAGACAGATCATAATGATGTAGACATCAGAGATGCAGTCAGAAGGGAGTTAGCTGGCACCTTGAAAAATATGTTTTATGAAGACATGATACAAGTCGAAGATTTCAAGCAAATTTTGAAAAAAAAGCAAAAGACACTGCACCAGGGCCTGATGGTGTCAGGTATGGTCACATGAAGGCTTTGAGCGATGTAGACCTGGCGGAGATGGCCGACTGTTTTAACCAGAGTATTAAGACAGCATCAGTACCGCAAGACTGGGTGCACAGATATCTAATCCCACTACCAAAACCTTTTAAAGATCATTCTAAGCTTAGTGGCTTTAGAATCATCACCTTACAAAACACATTTGGGAAGGTCCTAGAGAAGATAGTTGCTGTAAAGCTACAAGAATTTTTGGAAATGGGAAAGCTTATCAAGAGGTCTGGGAAGCTACAGGCCAGGAAAGGACACTTGGGAAAATGCGGCCACTTTGGCTTTTGACGTCTATGAAGGGTTCCAGAACAGACAGGAAACTATGGCGGTAGGACTGGATCTCGAGGATGCTTCTAAAAGAGTGAGATACGACGTCTTAATGACTGCACTGAGGGAGAAGGAGGTCAATCCATGGCTGGTGAATTGGGTTGCAGCTATCCTGTATTCACGTCGGGTTGCTTTCTGACTGGGCTCATGGACCTCTGAACCATGCACTTTGGCCCCAAGACTGCCACAGGGATCCGCCATCTCGCCTGTGCTCTTCAACGTGTATACGAGCAAGATTGCAAGCCTAAAAGCACCAGGAGCTGGAAGAATACTGACTTTTGCGGATGATATTCTTGCATATAGGCAGGGGGAAGAGAGGGAGCAAACAGCCCGGGAGCTACAAGCGACAGTTGACAAAGTGGTGTACAGAAATGAAGGCTGTCGTCCACCCGGAAAATGCGTCTGTTTTGTGGTGTTCTCTAGACAACAGAATCGTTAAAACTAATGTCCCAAGTCTCACGATAGATGGTAGAGACGTCAACAGAGAGCAAACTGAAGTATCTAGGAATTACATTTGACAGGAGCTTGTCATTTAAGGACCATGTGGAGAGTGTTGTGACGAGATGCCAAAAAGGACTTAGTGCACTTAAGACTATGGCTGCAATTGACATAGAGCAGAGAATGCTTTTCACACTATATCAGCACCTGATCCTGTCAGTGGTGGGTTATGGCCTGGGACTGCTTACCGTCTCAAAGAGTCAGATGGACAAACTAGAGCGCATACAGAACGCAGCTATGCGGGTCATTCTGGGTTGCACCAGAGACACCCCAGTGGTGTGTATGCGATACATCCTTGATTTGCCGACAGTTGCAGGTAGGCACAAGGTGATGCAGGCAAAGTCATATCTCAGGGTAGCTGCAGACACAGACCACCCTCTGCATGAAGCTCTGGATGCAGTTAAGGGTCAGCGGCTGATAAGAGGGAGGTCATGGATGGCTCAGGCAGAAGAGACAATCAGACAGGTTTGCATCCTTGAGAACATTAGGCGAGGAGAGGAGTGGGTCAAAGTGCAACCTGAGCAGTCAGACTTGTGTAGAGTCATAATCACGCTGAGCCGGGAATGCAGAGACTGGCCAGCAGGTGCCACAGAGGTGGAAATTCAGCAATTCAAGATAATGCTCGCTCAGTGGATTTGATCATTTACACAGATGGTTCAGTGTCAAGAGGCAAAAGAAGTGCTTGGGGCTTTTTAGCAAAAGTTAATGGTCGACGTTTGGTGCAGCAGAGCCTAGCATATGATACCACAACATCCAGCTTAAGAATGGAGGTGGAGGCGGTCACTGCAGCTTTCCGCTGGCTAGAGAACATGACACACACACACACACATTGTAATTGTAACTGATTCAGAAAGCATGCTGAGGAAGATCAGAACAGGTATGCTTCGTGCAGAGTGGCATGCTTCGCTGCGTAGGACACGACTGAGGAGTATTGTTTGGATTTTTTCACCGGGTAACGCCGGTGTGTTGGGAAATGAACAGGCGGACAGACTGGCTGGCTCTGCACAACTTGGTGGAATACTGCTACATGATAGGGCAGACGTGGTTAGTGCCTTGTGGGAGAGCGTGTACAATGCGGAGGAGCAGATGGATCACCACAGTTTGGTGAGATTGATGCAGTTGGGGGTGACGAGAGATTCTGGCAGAAGCTCAAGGCTCAGAGGAAAGACAAGACGCATTTAATCAGAAAGCTACTGGCACCATTAGTATCGGAACTCGCTGGCTGCTGAAGATGGAGACGGAGCGCTTATGGGAATGCCCTGGGTGCTGTAATGTCGGTTCTTGAATCAAATCAAATCAGATAAGGCTAGCTAAGAGGCTCCATGGCTCTTCCTGTGTCAGTTCAAACACCATCTTAAGATAAGGCTAGCTGAGAGGCTCCCGGGCTCTTCCTGTGTCAGTTCAAACCCCATCTTTAGATAAGGCTAGCTGAGAGGCTCCATGGCTCTTCCTGTGTCAGTTCAAACCCCATCTTTAGATAAGGCTAGCTGAGAGGCCCCTGGGCTCTTCCTGTGTCAGTTCAAACCCCATCTTTAGATAAGGCTAGCTGAGAGGCTCCATGGCTCTTCCTGTGTCAGTTCAAACCCCATCCTTAGATCATTTTCTGGAGCCACTTGCCTTGTGTGCTGAAGGTCATGTACTCATTTCATTGAAGGCACCATTCAGCCTCAAGTAACATTTTTATGAAGACCTCTTGGGGGAGCACTGCTGGATTATTTTTTTTAAATGGGAGTGAAGAATGCAGCAGGTCAAGGTAATTCTATTATGGCGTGAGGTAGTACATATGAAGGCTATACACTCCACATACACTAGTGCAGTATTTGCTATACCAATATAATTTTGGGGGGAGGGGGGGGGGGGAGGGGGGGGGTGTTATAAGAATATTGTGAGATAACTAAAATAACCAGTCATTACATGAATTTGTTTTTGTAATATAAACTTTTTTACAGATGTTTTGTGAAAGAAAATAGGATAAGAACACAGTTTAGACAAGCACTAAGTTTTGATCTAAAATAATTGAAAGGGGGCGAAAATGTAATTGCCCATGTTGAGGTTTGTCACTTACAGATGCTCGTAGTGCTTGATCTAGGTCTTGGATGAGATCCTCAATGTCCTCTAGACCCACTGACAAGCGTATCAGAGAGTCAGTGATACCCAGGGCTTTTCTCTGCTCATCGGGCACTGAAGCATGGGTTTGTAATGAACTGAAACAAGTAAAACAATTATACATACTGTAGACCTACATTTTTAAAAACAGTAAAACTGCAAGTGCATGTTTACTACTACCAAGGCCTCATTTTCCACTAATGTCTGTTCCGCTTGTGCTTCCTGTTAATTGTAATGTAACATAGCCTCAACATCTACAGCAAAACTGACAGACCTTCACAGCTGTATTAAATATTTGCATCTGGCCATATAATAATGATATAACTAGCTCTTCTATATATATTCTGTCTATTTAATTATATTTTCTTGTTTCATTAATAACTGCTCTACCCTTCGACTTACAGCTTGGTAGTGAAAGCCACTGTGGCATAGCGGCAGGATCCTCACCTGCAAATCCAAAGCTCATGGGTTCAAAGGCAAATGAAGCTGGACTTTCTTCAAAAAATGACTGACTTTCAGGTCGACACTGCCTTAAATGGGTACCAGGTATAAAGTCCTGGAAGGTAAAGGTGTTTGGCATAGTGCTGACCACATCACCCACCAGTGCCGACTGGTCTACAAAACATTCTAGCACTATGTGCCCAATATGCCTCAATGCGTTAAAAATGGTCCTTGGTGTTTATCATATGTAGTTAGTTGTACATGTGAGGCTTTCTGGTGGGGGGTGGAGACAATTTTGTGAAACATTGAGTGTTGTATCAGATGGAGCCACTGTCTCCGTAGATGCCCCATCTCGATCTTCTTTAGCATGCTCGCTTAGTCGCTGAGCAAACATGCATGGGTGAATTCCTGAGTTTTCAGCCATTCATGGGCCTTTGTTACAGCCATGACCTCTACTGTCTTGCTGGTGGTGGTAGAAACGAAGACTCCACTTGTCTTCTTTGACGACTTTTCCTTTAGTTCTTGATGTGAAAACCCATGCACTTCACTTCTGGTGAATCAAAAAACCATTAGTACATATAACAGCATCTTCCTGTGATGTGTGTTTCCCCACCTATGCATTCACTATTGGTGGCATGAAATCCCGCCACTGTCTTGTCAGGGTGATAACATTACAAAGTACCGCCTGTAACATGTTTGGCATGGGTATTCATTCCTCTCTACGGTTTAGGTCTTGAAGGGAAATCACAATTTGAAGTACTGTCTATGCTCAGCCCAACCAAGACTGGCCATGTTTATGTCTGTTGCCATTACATGTATTCAGTTCATCGTGCAGTGAATGTGTAAATACACGCTTGGCACATTTCAAGCCTACTGTTTGTATCTGAAAGATCTAGCAGGTATCTCACTGCTCTACATGATGTGTCTCTGGTGCACTGCTTCATTTTGTACCTTTTGCAGTCTGTTGATTTGTGTTTGAGGGTGAGGATTGCCAATGTATATTCTATGACAGAGAGGATCAAACCCTGATAGAGGCTGACTAGCAGCCTTTGCTGACCACATATGGCAGCCATAACGCTTACTGCAGCCAAACCATGTCTGGCCTTGTTGATCACAGTACCAGCTTGGAGTCTTAGCTAAGGCTTTGATCCATTAAACTGAAACGGGGAAGTAAAACCAGCACATTAACATTTATAGTCTGGTACCAAACAAGTTTTGCATTGCATCCAATTAATCCAGGTAAAAATACTGAAGAAATATATGCTAAAGATGTTTCAAAAAAGTGGAACAAGGAGGAGGAAGAAGAAATATGAAAAAGAAATATAAGCAACATATGGCCATCTTTACAATTTTGGCCACAGTCAAAAAATTGTTGCATGATCAGCAGGAATGAAAAAATGCACAGCATATTTAGATGTTGTACAACTAGCTAGTCTATTATAACATGCAATACAGAAACAAAACAAAGTTATTCATTGTTACACAACTAGCTAGTCTATTGTAAAATGCAATACAGAGACAAAACAAAGTTATTCATTGTTAAACAACTAGCTAGTCTATTGTAACATGCAATACAGAGATAAAACAAAGTTATTGGTTTGCTTTAAATAATCATACATGCATACAGAAACTAAGCTGTTATTACAATAGAATGGGTACCGATTGAGCAAACTGAACACAAACTGTATGCTGCTTTTTGCACAAGCTGAGGTCATGATGAAAACAACAAAAGCCTGACTATGACAACTGACTATAAAACAAAAGACTCACGGCAGCTCACAGAGACTCTCATAACCACCAAGGCTTTCAGCAAGAGTGAAGATCTGAAAGAAAACAATTGCAGTATTGTTTTACCTGCAGCTTGGACTTTTCAATAATGACAAGTGAAAGGACTAATACAACAAAATATTACATTATATAACATTCATAGTTCAAGTGTGAAGTCAAAGTTCAATGCAAGAAAGCATGCTTTAATATGATTGAAATCTCCCCATGTGGGTTCTGGGGCCCCATTGTGGGGAAAACAATAGACCCACTGCCTACCCAACAAGCATGTCGGAAGAGTCGACTATTTGGGAGCTTCCTTTGAAGTCCGAGTGCATCTGCCTGAGAGGCAAGGAACCAACAGTCTGCATAAAAGTGAATCAGATCTGTAAAACTGATGCACACGCAACACTCAGGCTCTGGAGCAGCCCAGGAGTGGACAAACAACCAGAACTTTCCAGTGCAACAACAAATAGTGACTTGGCTTGCTCTAATCAGATCTCAGTGTTCACTGGCCGTAAAATTCTGAAGTTCTGGTTGCTTGTCCACTCCTGGACTTTGGTACTGATCCACAAATGTTAGGTTTTGCGTGTGTATCCATTTTACAGATCTGGCGTATTTTGTATGCAGAATGTTGGTTACTTACCTCTCAGGCAGATGCCTGTTAATGATGAGATTGATTTTTTAAATTCTTTTGTTAGATGGTTTTGGTTGCAGTGCTATATTTTTTTTAATGGGGTGAGGGGGGGGGGGGGCGTGTCTGACTGCCAATTTTTCTTGCCAAAGTGATTTGACCTCTTCTTTTTATTTATCTTGCAGAATTGCTTTTGTCCCTCTTCTTCTAAGTGATGGATATGTTTCACAAGACGCTCCTCCCGGATGGCCAAGGCAGAAAATGCACGTCAGAAGTGATCCAGTATATCAGAAGTGGTCCAGTATGTCAAAAGTGGTCCAGTATGTCAAAAGTGGTCCAGTATGTCAAAAGTGGTCCAGTATATCAAAAGTGGTCCAGTATATCAAAAGTGGTCCAGTGTGTCAGAAGTGGTCCAGTGTGTCAGAAGTGGTCCAGTGTGTCAGAAGTGGTCCAGTGTGTCAGAAGTGGTCCAGTGTGTCAGAAGTGGTCCAGTGTGTCAGAAGTGGTCCAGTGTGTCAGAAGTGGTCCAGTGTGTCAGAAGTGGTCCAGTGTGTCAGAAGTGGTCCAGCACGTCAGAAGTGGTCCAGCACGTCAGAAGTGATCCAGCACGTAAGAAGTGATCCAGCACGTCAGAAGTGATCCAGCACGTCAGAAGTGATCCAGCACGTCAGAAGTGATCCAGCACGTCAGAAGTGATCCAGCACGTCAGAAGTGATCCAGCACGTCAGAAGTGATCCAGCACGTCAGAAGTGATCCAGCACGTCAGAAGTGATCCAGCACGTCAGAAGTGATCCAGCACGTCAGAAGTGATCCAGCACGTCAGAAGTGATCCAGCATGTCAGAAGTGATCCATGTCAGAAGTGATCCATGTCAGAAGTGATCCAGCACGTCAGAAGTGATCCAGCACGTCAGAAGTGATCCAGCACGTCAGAAGTGATCCAGCACGTCAGAAGTGATCCAGCACGTCAGAAGTGATCCAGCACGTCAGAAGTGATCCAGTACGTCAGAAGTGATCCAGTCTGCCAGAAGTGATCCAGTCTGCCAGAAGTGATCCAGTCTGCCAGAAGTGATCCAGTACGTCAGAAGTGATCCAGTACGTCAGAAGTGGTCCAGTACGTCAGAAGTGATCTAGTATGTCAGAAGTGATCCAGCAAGTCAGAAGTGATCCAGTATATCAAAAGTGATCCACTATGTCAGAAGTGATCCACTATGTCAGAAGTGAACAGAATGTGGCCAGGGATTACTACAACCTGCTTGATCAGCATAGACATGTGGGCTGTGTGTGCAAACCATAGAACGTCTCCTGCAAGTCTTTCTCTTGTACAGTTTATTAAGAAGGAAATATTGGCCAATGAGTCAACACCTTACTCACAACTGATAATCTTAGTTTCAGCTTCATAGCAAATGGGTCAACCCATGGTTGCTCCGCAATTGTGGCAATAAAAAACAAAGAATGTCCAATACTGTCGCTTGTGGAAAAACTGAGTCTCAGCATATACAGTAGCTTATTCACACATTAAAAGCATAACACAGCCATCAGAAGTGTTATTACAAATAGTCCAACAACAGAAATGCAGTTTATCATTGACGGAAGCAGCAGCTATAAACAAATCAGCAGTTGCACATGTGATAAATTTTAATCACATAAGGCACCACCAATTATGTGGCAACAGGCTACTAACCATTTTCTGAATCTAGAGTTCACAACACTGCGTTGGTCACAGTCAAAAAACATTCCAAATGAAATCTGCTGCTCAGTGTTGCACCATGCACTTAACTCAGTAGTTAGGTGACAAAACTTTATCCTGTTATTCTACAAAGGAAGCAAAATGCAATGGCCACTGTCTGTCAGAAGCAAAAATGAGCTTATCAACTTGTTGCCTAAGGTTTCATTTTCAGCACTGAGGTTGGACATTTTGTGTGTGTCCCCAACAGTACAACGGTGGTCATTCTGGCCAGATACATTCTGGGATTTTATTAGGGATCTGGTTAGCCCACCATTATTCTATAACCTAGGACATACACAGGCCTTACACCACTAAGCCATTTGTCTTTCAGAACTAACAATGTTACCTTAACAGATTTTAAAAATGTTCTGGCCTCCTGCAGTCCACCTTTGATATGGAATATTAGCATTCCTGAATAACCAATCATCTGTCTCTTCCCAAGCTCATACTGTGGGTGTGAAGGCAAACCTACAGACATGAAACAATCATCTTGTACTGTATCATACAACATGTGGGTGTGAAGGCAAACCTACAGACATGAAACAATCATCTTGTACTGTATCATACAACATGTGGGTGTGAAGGCAAACCTACAGACATGAAACATCTTGTACTGTATCATACAACATGTGGGTGTGAAGGCAAACCAGACATGAAACAATCATCTTGTACTGTGTACAACATGTGGGTGTGAAGGCAAACCTACAGACATGAAACAATCATCTTGTACTGTTATCATACAACATGTGGGTGTGAAGGCAAACCTACAGACATGAAACATCTTGTACTGTATCATACAACATGTGGGTGTGAAGGCAAACCTACAGACATGAAACAATCATCTTGTACTGTATCATACAACATGTGGCTGTGAAGGCAAACCTACAGACATGAAACAATCATCTTGTACTGTATCATACAACATGTGGGTGCGAAGGCAAACCTACAAACAATGAAACAATCATCTTGTACTGTATCATACAACATGTGGGTGTGAAAGCAAACCTACAGACAATGAAACAATCATCTTGTACTGTATCATACATCATGTAGGTGTGAAGGCAAACCTACAGACAATGAAACAATCATCTTGTACTGTATCACAGATGTGGGCTTGAAGGCAAACTTACAGACAATGAAACAACTATCCTGTACGGTATTATAAAAGCTCCATTTGGGTTCCAGTGTTCCACTGTAGGGAAAAAGAATAAACCCACTGCCTTTCCAACAAGCATGTCGTAAAGTCGACTAATTAAAGATTTCCTTCAAAGTCGGAGTGCATCTGCCCAAGTGGAAGAAAACAACCAAATGCACACAAATAAGCCAATAAAGCGCATATACACCCAAAACTGAAGCCCTGGCACAAAGCTAAAGTCCAAAAAACCAGGACTTTCTGATAGAGCCAGTGAACAAAGAAGAAGTTTTACCAATAGGGGATGACTACTCTTGAGCTAAAGTGCAAAATGACCGAGTTCACAAACAACAACTGGTTACATCAGTTCACAAACAACTGGCTAGAAGTGAGTTAACAAACAATAACTGGTTATGAGTGAGTTAACAAACACCAACTGGCTATGAGTGAGTTCACACCAAAAAAAAACTGGCTATGAGTTCACAAATTACTGGTTATTACAGCTCACAATCAACAACTGGCTAAGAGTGAGTTTACAAACAACAACTGACTATGTCTATGTTCACAAACAACTGGCTAAGAGTGAGTTTACAAACAACTGACTATGTCTATGTTCACAAACAACTGGTTATGACAGTTCGGTTTGGTTTATACAATAGATCAACATCATGGCACAAGGGTAGTAACCCAGGGTATTAATCCATAAGTGCTCTGTTCTACTTCTAACTCAAGCCTAAATCCGAAGTATCTTAGCACAGTACACAAACTTCGTAGCACCGTGGAAGATCCTGAAATACTTGGGGTAGATTTTTAAGTCAAAATTTTGCCCGGGCGGCACTGTTAGGCTTCTTTTTGACAGTTCACAAAGAATAATTGGCTATCACATTTCATAAACTGGTTATGACAGGTCACAAACAGATTAATATGAAAGAGTTTTCAAACAATAACAGGCTATAGTAGAGTTTCCAGATAATAAATGGATATTATATAATTCCCAAAAATCCTCAAAGATATATTCCCCATTGCATTAACTTCATGACACTATATTTTCCCACCAAATCTAATATTCATGCAATCTGAATTTTCTGACAGTATTCCTGTTACAATCAAATTTACATGTCAAAGCTGCACGCCAGTAACTAACAAGTTACGACAGCATACCTGGGTGTACAACTTTCTCAACAGCAGGATGGGTCTCCAGGAACTTAGCCACAGCAAGTCCATTCCTCATGTGCTCTTTCATTCTCACTGGCAGAGTCTTTAGACCTCGGTTGACCAGATAGCAATCAAATGGTGAAGGAACTGCTCCTAAAGCTAATGGGCAGAGAAAAACAACAAATAAACATCTTTTAATTAAAAATTTACAGCTTTTAAACTCCACTTGATGTTTTATTTTAAAATTATTTGTCACTTTATTTTCACAAGGATAAAATATTTTTTGTTATAGTTTTGTACACAACATGATTCATTGCTCACTAACTGTACAAAATTTGACATGAAAATAAACACCTCAAATACTGAAGTAATGACCATAGGAAAAAAACACAGTAATGGAAACATAAAGATCAATGACATACAATTAGAACAAGTTCAAGAATTCAAGTACTTAGGATGCATATTTACAGAAGATGGAAGACTCGATAAAGAGATACAGGCTAGAGTTCAAAAAGCCAATGCAGTCAACTACCAACTGGCCCCACTTCTTCGTCATCCAAAGATCTCATTACCAGCCAAACAATGGATGATCAACAGCATTTTCATCCCTACGTTATGTTATCAGTGCCAAACGTGGACAATGAACAAATCACATATGCAAAAAATAACTACGTGTGAAATGCGACTCCGAAAAGTCACCATCAATACACGAAGAAAAAGAGAGACAAACGTCAGCATTAGAGACAAAGTTGGAACAAGAGCATGCATGGAACATATTGAAAGACAGAGAATGAAGTGGTTTGGCCATTTAGTGAGAATGCAACCGGATCAGATTGCTTATAAGGCCTTTTACAGTAGAACATCGGGAAGAAAGGCCAGAGGAAGACCCAGGAAAAAATGGATAGATGGAGTAGCTGAATACAGCCTAAGATCCAGAAAACTCACTCAAATCACGCGAGAGGCACAAAACAAATATTTTAAACCACGACACTGGGCTGCAACCCGGTAAAAGTGAAGAAGACAATAGATAGATAGATAGATAGATAGATAGATAGATAGATAGATAGATAGATAGATAGATAGATAGATAGATAGATAGATAGATAGATAGATAGATAGATAGATAGATAGATAGATAGATAGATAGATAGATAGATAGATAGTTTTGTACAATATTACTATATATATATATATATATTTGTAAATATTTTATTTACCCCCATTTACTACAGTTATGTGCTGTGTATTATTTCCATTGTAGTCATACTTTTGTATATATGTCTGGCACAAACGTTATCGAGTTCATGCTTCAGGAGACCTATCATGGGGAAATCTGTGGGAAATGTGACTTGAGGTAAGATGAACAAATTCCTTGGAAATAACATGTAACCTGAGCTAAGTTTAAGACAGACGACTTAACCTTCAGACCATGACTGAAGGCAATCTGAGAGTCATACCCAGGGGACCATTGAGTTGGTAGCACTGGTCAGTATTGTGACCCAGTCACTTTATGCTGTGTGTTCAGCTTTAAGGGTTCTGAATTATGGATGTCGTGCAGTTGAGATGTTTCTGATGTTCCAGGACTCTCTAATCAGTTACTTGATATAATGCATCTTTTGGCAGTTATATTGTCTTGACAACAAGACCGAAATGAGTATTCCTTCAGACGTTATGCCAGGTGACTTATTTTGCATCAGTTCAGTGTGGTTACCCAAGTCCATGATAAGGGTTGGACACTGACTTGTTTGCCATCACTAGAGGCCTGTTATATAAACTTGTGGGTATTCTGTGAGCAGCGCCCTGTCTGCTTCCCCACAAGTGCAGTCCAGTTTACACTGTGGAACTCTAGTATTGAAGTATGAAATGAATCCTTTGAATTTTCATAGGAGGCGACAGGGTGTCTCAGCCTGCATGCCAAAGCCTATTAGTGCAGGCGGTTGTTGAAGTGAGAGTTTTATTATTATTGAGCAACTGAAGATTTGTTGTTTATGAGAGACATAAGAGTTCATCACCGTTCATTATTCATCACTGTTAAGTGAACTAAATATGGTGGTCCACAAATACCCAAGCTTGGGTAGTGTCGTCTGATGCAGTTTCAGTAATGTAGTTGTAACTTGTATGTACGAAGACCTGATGGGACTCTAGTCATGTACAATGAGGCAGTTTCATTCAGCATAGCCTAAATACTTATTTGCCCAGGAGAGGTTATCATACCATAGGCGGATGTATCGCAACACAAATGATTTTTTTTATCTAGTACATTAAGACAAATTTATTCCTACAGATACACACATCATAATGTCTTATTTACAGTCCTCTGAAGCTGGCCAAGCACCTGATCACTGCTAGTTATAGAAAGCTCTAATCTATAGTAGTCATTATGAAAGAGAATACTGCTAAAAAGCAAAGACATAATAAACAAGAAAGAAAACAGTCTAACAAGTCTGGCAATATGTTCTTAATTCTTAATATTAAATTGTATTTATTTTTCATACCATTTTGGAAAAACTTCAGTTTTGAGGCCAGTTCCTCATCATTGAGCATGATTGCTCCCATTATGACATCACTGTGTCCTGGGGGAAAATAAGATTTCAACATTTTCATACAAAAATATGTAAGAACATTCTGCACCAACTTCAAAGCTAAAGAGATACATTGTAACAAGCAGCAAGGAAACGATGGCTTGCAATTTAGTTAATGCACACTAGTAAACAAGCTTATTCTAGCAAAACACCTCTGTAACAACTCAACTCTCTTGCTCTCACTGCTCAAATCTCTATGATATGATGGCCTTATAGTACTTTAATTGTTGAAACAAGAAGTCACATGAAGCAAGATGGTGTGGGGAATGTGGAGTAATGATTCCCTTGGATTTCAGACCTCTGAAACAATCCTGCACACATCTGGGACATGTGACGGTGCAGATATCAGAGAGAGCGAGAGAGTTAGAGAGAGAGATAGTGATAGGGGGAGTGGGAGTGAGAGGGAGACAGCCAGAGAGAGAGAGAGAGAGAGAGAGAGAGAGAGAGAGAGAGAGAGAGAGAGAGAGAGAGAAAGAGAGAGAGAGAGAAATGGAGATAGAGATAGGTTACAGGTGCAACTAACCATTCATATACTTAGATAAGGAATGCATGACCATGTCTGCTCCTAACTCCAGAGGTCTCTAAAGTCAGAAAAAAAAAAAAGATGTTAACATCAAAGCTTCAGGTATTCATGTTAGATAACATATTGATTTCAAGATTTAGGTGTAACTATTATTAGTTTCCATGTGCAACAAGGATGATTTACTGACTAATTTATTAGATTAATAAAGGCTGATTCCATATGCCACAAGGATGATCTATGGACTAAATAGCAAACATAGAAAGTAAATTCCGCACTAGTATTACAACTTGTCATGTCCAAATGATGTCCATGACCTCACTGTAAGACCAAGTATACTCTGACATAAAGTACACACTAGATGTAAATATTTAGTCATTAACTTTCTCGGAGCCATGAAAACCATTCCCATCAGAGAGATAGAAAGGATAGCAGATACTGAACCACTCGAACTCAGAAGACAATACAAAACTCTTTTACAATATGAGAAATTAAAAAGACTTCAAAGTCACCCACTGTATTTTAAATTTCAAGAGAGAACAAAAACAGACTGAAGCGTCAGAGCCCCAACCACCTTGCTAGAGAACTGTACAGACAGCACCAAGATCTACTTGAAAGAGATGTTGCACTGTGCGAAAAACTTAGGCCAGAACCATGGACAAGCAAGCCAGAGAAAGCAAATGTAGTCCTAAAGGTACCAGGAGTCACTTCAAAAGATGCCCAGACGGAGACAACAGAGAACCCTGGCTTTTGCTATGCTTGATGAGAAGTATCCAAACACCACTTGGACTCAGTCAGAAAGGGGGGGATTGTGGAATTTACATTAAACCCCCTAGCAGTAGTAGAGAAACTCTCTACCAGCAGGTGACATCTGCACTAACTTCAGAGCTGAGGCAACTGCCCTCCTCTCTGTAGTCCAACCTCTCATCATTCAAGACCACAGAGGGCACCAAATTGTTATACTTAGTGACTCTGTCTGTTCTCCAAGCACTATCCAGCAAAAAACAAGACAAACTAATTGCAGATCTAAGGACCAACATTGGTTTACTCTCCAATGAAGCAGAACTGGTCATGCAGTGGATACCAGCCCACTGTGTTATTCAAGGAAATGAGAGAGCAGATGAGTTGGCAAAAGCTGGGAGTAATCTTCCACAACCTCATCCACCACACAGCAACAAGGAAACCAAAACAGCGCTAAAGCAGTCTTTCAAGCGGGAGTGGAGAAGGCAGAATGGAGATTAAAGATCAGAGAGTGACAGCATAAACAAATTCAACAGGAAAGAACAAACATCAATTTTTAGACTTTGGATAGGACACTGTGGTCTTTGAGCACACTTGTACAGGATAGGCATAAAAGAATCTGCTGCCTGTGATTTTGGAGCAGAAAGACAGACCCCTGAGCACATACTACAGTACTGCCCTAACCTCTCCCAGCAAAGACTGGATCTGGCCCAAGGGAGCCACATTGCAAGAGAAGCTATGGGGGACCGGTGGCGACCTTGAACGCACAATCCTATTTGTGACTCAGACGGGACTCAATGTTTAGCATGACTGATGTCGAACGCAGAAGAAGAAGAAAAAAGTCATTAACTCCCTATATGGCTGACACAAACAGTCAAATCCTAGGAGAAATCTATCAACGCTTATCTATAGCATTACACAGGAGAAGGCTGTCTTGGCTTGGGTCATAATTAAAGCCATTTGACCATGTCCAGGAAGACAAAGTCCTTGGTACCCCTATGGTGTCTCCACAGTGAACTGGTAGAGGTGCATGTATACATCTATGACCCGTGGCACTATGCTGATCATAGCTTAGTGTCTCACAAGGTCTTTTTTGCCAGATAGCTTAAGTGATCAGAATTGGAATGAAAGAAACACAAACATGTTGCCTTGTATGTAGACTGGAGATAAATCAAAGCCTAGGGAAGGCAAACTTAAACAAATGCTTGTCCAAATCATATCTACTGAGCAATGCTTGACGAAACAGTGCGGTATAACCTGCTTCACTATGTAAATCCTTGAACTGTGAGGAAGAGACCGAACCAGTCATGCATGTGTGGCTCAGACACATGCTTGGTGCTGAACTGACAAACAACACATAAGTTTTGTGAACTTACATTGTCTTCCATAACCTTTAAGAATTAAATCTTTATCTTTGAAGTCATAGTCACGATAAGACTGCCTTTTCTTTTGAACTGTTCTGAAAGAACATGAATTTATCCTCTAAATAAAAGTTAAAACACTTTTCCTGTGACTAGATAAAAATATTTTGGATTTTTTTCTCTGTACTATGATTAATAATGATGTGCAGAAGCTAGCATGTTTACATGCCCAGCGGATGGTCATGTGTTCAAATCTTCCTTAAGTGGGAATTTATAAAAAGAACTGACCTGGACTACAAAGTAGGTGAAACATAAAATGGGTACCAGGAAATGTTTTGAGAAGTAAAGGCGGCTATCAGGATACGGACTAAACCACCCATAAAGTGATGATTGGTATTTAAAATATAAAGATAGCATCTTTCCAACATGCCTCAAGATGGGGACAACAGCTGTTGGCTGACAATATTACCTGAAAGTAGGCAGACATAAATGTGTTGTCCACAACAATAAATGGCTTCTCTTGCCAGTCTTGTGTTACTGCCCTTACAGCCTGGCACACGGCAGTGATGTCCACCAGCTTCATGGTGGGGTTGGTGGGGGTTTCAATCCACAGCATCTGTTAATGGATGGACAAGAAAGGTTACACTGTGTGTGTGTGTGTGTGTCTCTGTGTGTGTGTGCACGTGTGTAAACTATATCCATATAATGGTCACGTAGGACTAGTTCTAGTTTGAACTGTACGTTCTTCGAATCTGCAGTGTGCGGTCTCTTGCACCAGCGCTGTCCCGCTTGCACCAGCGCTGTCCCGCTTGCACCAGCGCTGTCCCGCTTGCACCAGCGCTGTCCCGCTTGCACCAGCGCTGTCCCGCTTGCACCAGCGCTGTCCCGCTTGCACCAGCGCTGTCCCGCTTGCACCAGCGCTGTCCCGCTTGCACCAGCGCTGTCCCGCTTGCACCAGCGCTGTCCCGCTTGCACCAGCGCTGTCCCGCTTGCACCAGCGCTGTCCCGCTTGCACCAGCGCTGTCCCGCTTGCACCAGCGCTGTCCCGCTTGCACCAGCGCTGTCCCTCTTGCACCAGCGCTGTCCCTCTTGCACCAGCGCTGTCCCTCTTGCACCAGCGCTGTCTCTCTTGCACCAGCGCTGTCTCTCTTGCACCAGCGCTGTCTCTCTTGCACCAGCGCTGTCTCTCTTGCACCAGCGCTGTCTCTCTTGCACCAGCGCTGTCTCTCTTGCACCAGCGCTGTCTCTCTTGCACCAGCGCTGTCTCTCTTGCACCAGCGCTGTCTCTCTTGCACCAGCGCTGTCTCTCTTGCACCAGCGCTGTCTCTCTTGCACCAGCGTTGTCTCTCTTGCACCAGCGTTGTCTCTCTTGCACCAGCGTTGTCTCTCTTGCACCAGCGTTGTCTCTCTTGCACCAGCGTTGTCTCTCTTGCACCAGCGTTGTCTCTCTTGCACCAGCGTTGTCTCTCTTGCACCAGCGTTGTCTCTCTTGCACCAGCGTTGTCTCTCTTGCACCAGCGTTGTCTCTCTTGCACCAGCGTTGTCTCTCTTGCACCAGCGTTGTCTCTCTTGCACCAGCGTTGTCTCTCTTGCACCAGCGTTGTCTCTCTTGCACCAGCATTGTCTCTCTTGCACCAGCGTTGTCTCTCTTGCACCAGCGTGGTCTCTCTTGCATCAGTGTTGTCTCTCTTGCATCAGTGTTGTCTCTCTTGCATCAGTGTTGTCTCTCTTGCATCAGTGTTGTCTCTCTTGCATTAGTATTGTCTCTCTTGCATCAGTGTTGTCTCACTTGCATTAGTGTTGTCTCTCTTGCATTAGTGTTGTCTCTTTTGCATTAGTGTTGTCTCTCTTGCATCAGTGTTGTCTCTCTTGCATCAGTGTTGTCTCTCTTGCATTAGTGTTGTCTCTCTTGCATCAGTGTTGTCTCTCTTGCATTAGTGTTGTCTCTCTTGCATTAGTGTTGTCTCTCTTGCATTAGTGTTGTCTCTCTTGCATCAGTGTTGTCTCTCTTGCATCAGTGTTGTCTCTCTTGCATTACTGTTGTCTCTCTTGCATTAGTGTTGTCTCTCTTACATTAGTGGTGCACTCATAATGCTCTGGGGGAGTGACAGAGGTATGATCCACCCCCAAAACTGAGCAACTGGGACAATTCACAATGTGAATAGTAAGGATTGTTGCAAAAATAAGCCAAGGATGGTATATTTAACAATCTAGCCATTTACCAAGCTATATTTTAACAGTAGAAATTTGGCCACAAATTTTTACATAAAAAAAAAAAATATGTATGTATCATGAACAAACATCTTGACCCTCCACAGTGCTCATGAACCACACCTTGATCATTCTGGTGTTATCTAATGAAAGAGATTGGGACACTTTGGCAGATATCTGTGTGCAAAAAAGTAATTCCCACAAATGTTCCCATGCACTTACATATACAAACCAAAGCAAAATCATAATAAAAAAATTTTTATATGGCATGTTCTTACTCTTGTTGTTGACTTCAGACTGTCTACGACCGCCTGGATATTACTACAGTCCACAAATGATATGTCCAGACCCATTTTTGCTGCACATTTACTGAAAAACCGGTTGGTTCCTATATTCACAGAAATATTAAAAATAAGTGTACAGTGATCTGAATAATCTTTTTAAATGACATACAATTGAAAATAATCTCTTTCTTGTGTAGACTAAATAAGTCCTATCATTCATTAACTCTGTGTGTGCGTGTGCGTGTGTGTGCGCGCGCGCGCACCTGAGTGAGTGCCCATCTCACACACTCACCAAAATCATGAATCATTTCTATGATTTTGTCTCGCTCCTTTCATCTGACCAGGCCGTCCATGTATTTATCTCTTTGCCTTCCTCTTGCTCTATGTAAGCTGCACACAACCAAAAGTAAAACTGAATGACGCATATTCTCATCCATAATAGAGACACTTTTTACCTGACCAGTGGTTCTCAACCTTTCTAATGCTGTGACCTTTTGATACCTTTCCTCATGTTGTGGTGACACACCCACCCCCCCCCCCCCCCCCCCTTCCCAACAATATGTTTATTCTCGTTGCTACTTCATAACTTCAGTGAATATGTGTTTTCTGATGGTTTTAGGCAACCTCTGTTTTGACCCCAAAATGGGTCATGACCTACAGGCTGAGAACCGCTGACCCAAACACTTTCATTTCCAGGTTTCCCAGCAGATGAACAATAAGGAAAATAACTACATTAACAAATTTAAAACCCTTCCTGTCAAAGAGGGTAAATAAGTGGCTATTGAGGAATCCAGATTTCTTTAACCTGAAATATGTGTGGAAAAATAAAGACAATTTCAGAACATATAATGCAATGGTTGGTATTCAAGGGGAAGAATTAATAGCACATTATACAGTGCTGGCCCATGAAAGAGTTTATGTTCATCTACCTTGGATGTTTTAAATGCTTACACATTTGATCTTCACATGCTTTTATTTTTTTAACTGTCATCTATTCAAGTGTTGACCATCTTGACAGCTTACCTCCATAGACATCATTCATACTAACAATGTGATCTCCCTGTTTAAGGAGGTAGGTCAACGATGTTGTTGCTGCAAGCCCAGATGCAAAACACAATCCTAATTAACAATGAAAAAGAAAATGTATCATTACAAAATTGACAGTATTATTTGTCTTAAAATTAGGATAGTCACTGCCATCACAACAGGTATTCTCACTAGTGAAGAATTCACATCTCAGAAACACACACAAAGTAAGATATTGTATAGTAATAAATGTGTTACAATGAAATAAAATGTAAAACAATCTATGATCTGGTAGATCTACTTTATTTTTTGCCTCATGGTCTCAAGTTTAAACAGTTTTGTTTAATTATATACATCTTTTTCCATCTTTATCATTTATCTTCTCATATGTGCTTCTCACTTCAATTCCTTTACTTTTTTATCCCACATTAAAGTCCTTTCATTTCCATATGCTACACTATTGTTTTCCTGTTTTTACTTCACTTCTAGCACATCCTGGCAACAAATTCACACTTTTGCAAATCAGATTTACCCTTTGGCAGATCAAGTTTTTCTAGAATGTCTTTGTTTTATCCATTGTAATAAAAACAGAATCCAATGAAATTTTTTGCTGAAAACAAATTATTTCATGTATGCAATACAAAATGTTGTCTGGAATTTGTTGGGATGGAACTTCTCTGCAAAGTTTTTTTTATATCTATTCATTCGGCAAACAAAGGTAGCGCATGGTGCATTGACTCATACAAGTTCTGGCACTCACATCTTTTTCCAAACAAAGGTCATATAACAAGCACAATTTTTCATTTCTAAACAGGATGTATACAAGCTGGACATATACAGAGGCACCACTGTATTTTATGGGTTTTTTTTACTACACAGATGTAATCAAATGTACAGGCTCAACAACACAATCCAATTTCACAGTTATTACAATAGATTAAGAAACTATTTCTAAAGAAAAGCTTGCTCTGTCAAAGGGTAAAATTTGTTTTAAAAAAAGTTACCCATCCTATATTACCATTCAACACAATCTGGTAAAGATGTGGGGGTAGCATGATTACAAACACCAATTGGCAAGGCTTTTAAAGATAATGGATATTTGTTTAAATCCTAGCCACCTTCCTTATGCTGTCCTTGATTATTTACTTACTTAGTGGCTCCTCTTCTACCTTGGGGTGTAGAGGTTTGCCAGAGAGATCGTCAGACATCTCTCTCTGCAGTTTTCTTTCTGACTTTGTTCCACTCCAGTTCTGTCATTTAGGGACTCGGATGTTGTCTTCCCAGCAGACCCTGGGTTGCTCTGGAGGTCTGGTTCCCTGATTCTCCCATGCCTGCTGGTTTTCTCCCATTCTGCATACATGTCCAAACCATCGAGCTGATCCACTTGGGTCAGTAAGGACTGGGTATCAAGATCTTGACATATTGTCTGATTGCGGACTTTGTCCCTTTTTGTCACTTAGACCAGCTTTCTAAGATATCTCATATCCTAGGCCTGCAGCTGGCTTCTGTGAGCTGTTGTCTTTGCCCATGACCCACACCCATAGGTCAGGACTGGTACATAGGCAGAGTGGTAAACAGCCATTTTCATTCTTTTCATTCTAATACAACTCCTAGGTATTTGAACTGGCTGACCTGCTACAATGCATACTGTCCCATCATGATCTGGTGTTTCTTGAGATCACTATGGTTTTAGTTTTAGAGATATTGATGGTCATCCCCCTCTTCTCAAGCTTAAGACAAGTAAGTTGGACTGAAGGTGTGCCTCTGATTTAGCTATGAAGGCCACATCATCTGCAAATGCCAGCTCTGATATACTAACTTGTCTCATCTTACAGTACTTTTTTGTCTTCTTACAGGTCTTGATGACAACACACCTCATTAGAATGAAGAGGTTACGTGAGAGAATTTCACCTTGTCTAATACTGCTAGTGGCCTTAAATTCTTCTGACTTTTGGTCTGCTGTTCTTACATAATTTCTGCAGCTTTATAAGAAACTTTTGCACTGATCAGGGGTGCTGGGATATTTTTCCCTGCCAAGTATGACACTTTCTCAATGCTATTCTGTAAATGATCCATTGTCTATTTACGTAGGTAGTTAAAGGACAAGCAATGCTCTCAAGAATGCAAGACAAGTACAAATTTAGGAGAAGACACTAAGTCTGTAACATTCAAAAGACTACAAGAACTTGAGATCAAAAGAGGTATTGCCAGACATGAACACTATACAGGTAGCTAAAGTAGTGTAAAACCAACACAGAACTTATGTTATCAGTTGCCTCATGCAAGGGATATCCCGAAGATGGGACTTGGAATTGTCCAATATGCAATGAGGATACTCTGTTGATTAACTAACTTTCTCTCTCTCTCTCTTTTCTACAAATCTTTCCTGTTACATATTCCACTTTTCTTTTTCATAATAACTGCCTCTTTTTGAATGTTTGTGATTTGTCTTTGTGTCTTAAACTTTCAATTACTCATTTAGGCTGTCCAAGGAATTGTAAGGATTTGTTTGTCAAACCATAACTCCATGGTGTCAAAGCATTTTCTTGGCTTGCTTACCAACTGTTTAAAACTAGTTCTATGTAATACGCAAGAATGCTTTTTCTGACCTCAAATAACAAGGATTTACCGCACAAGATGGTTTTGTTCTTCATTTTATAAATAGTTGACTGCATATTCTGTTCCTTATCTCTGTTAGACATCCTTCATAAGGCCTTGCATTGGTTTCGACAGTGGTATCAAGAAAGCTGACTGTCCAGAAAGCAATGGCAAACTACTGGACATTAATTTGCCTAGAAAAACCACACAACAGCCAGGGGCTGTTGGGGTTGGTTATGCAATGTCCTGTAAAGGATGCAACTAACTTTAACTTGTCCTAAATGCCAATAACTTTAAATGTACACAATCTATTTTTAATCACAAACTATTTTCTGAGACTTTCTCTTTGTTATCAAATCAACAGGCGCTAAAACAATTGGATAATTACATTAAAAGACAAGACAATATGCAAATATCTCTGACCCCAGAGAGTCATCAATGCAGTTAGGAGAAGCTGTGCTCTAGATCATATCTTAAAGATATAAAGAACAGAAAGAAGTAAGAAAGGACTATTGAACAAACAAGAAAGGACTATTGAACAAACAAGAAAGGACTATTGAACAAACAAGACAGAAAATTATAGTTCATATTTCAAGTTCACTAACCATATCTGGCTCCCTCAGAAGCTGCCAGACACTTCTCCAGGCAGCTGCGAGTTGGATTTCCACTTCTTGAGTATTCAAAACCCTGCAAGTAGTTCAGTTACAATGTAACACTGACTTTGCCATGTGCATTGTCTTGTTTTGTTTAATTTTATTTCATAAGATGCATGTTCTTTTCGGGTAGTCTGATCTGTGCACCCTCATGCACACGTGTGAATGTTTTTTCCCTAATATAACAAAGTGTGATTAAAAAGATCCCACCCCCCCCCCCCCCCAAAAAAAAAAAATCCCAAGCAAGTTAACTTAGAATGATGCCATCTGCTATTTCTGGTCTGATGTTGGACAAGGCACAAGAGAGATCACTCTCCACATCAAGCTGGCAACACTGTTTTATTGTCATCACTGTTGAAGTCAGAGATCCTGATTATTACAAGTACAGCAAATAAAATGAAGGAAGCTGCAGGAGATGCTGTAGCTGCTGCTTGTGAGTCCCAGCCATCTAGTTAAGACCCGCTCAGCGCCGCGCATAGTGGCGCGGGAGATACTCTCGGTGGTGACTTTTAACTCGGCGGGAAGTTTTTCTGCGGTATGCTGCTTAGTCACCGGAAAGAGGGCCACATGTGACTGAGGCCCTGTTAGGGTACATTTTCAGCCTTGACAATTTGGGACCATTATTTAGAGGATAGCCTATATCAGTTCACCACCAAGTGGTGCAAAACCGGCCAGTCTATCTGATTGCTTATCTGAAGAAAATATCCAAAGGATGCTAACTACCTGGGACCTCTGAAGTGATGCTTGCCACTCTGCATGGTCAAACCTGTCTCCACCTTTCTCAACATCTTCTGTGAGTCAGTTACAATCTCGGCATGTGTGTACAGCTGATTTTAAAGCCTGCGGGATGCAGCAGTGATGGCCTCCACCTCCATTCTCAAACTAGACGTCGTGATATCATATGCCAGGCTTTGTTGCACTAAGCGACGTCCATTCGCTTCTGCTATGAACTCCCATGCACTTCGTTTGCCTCTCAACACAGAACCATCTGCATAAATAATCACATCACTTGGGCGGGAATTGTCATGAATCATTTGTTGAACTTCTGATTCTGCAGCACCAGCTGGTCAGTCCCTGCACTCACGTCCTCAAGTGATAAGAACCATACACAAGTCTGAAACTTGCTCGGACACTCTGACCCACTCCTCCCCTTGCACAAATTTATTACTACAATATAAGGATGTGTACAAGAGGGATATGAATGATACAGGTATTGAGTGGACTTGTGGGAACAAAATAATATGGAGTGTGTGTGTTGTGGGTGGGGGGGGGGGGCACATCAGAAAGGGAATGAGAATGAAGAAAGAAATTATTGTAGAAAGTAGGACAGCAGAATGTCTGAGAAGAAACACACTAAACACAAATGATAACAATGGTCGTGAAATTCCATGCTATAACTGCGAAAGAATTTTTTTTTTAGGTGGATGGGTCTTTCTAGTCATACTTGCCCTCTCCACGGGCTGTGAATCTCATGCCTCCTCATAGACAATATAACACTATCGTCTGGAAAGCGGAAAGGTGCCAATCAATTGTTTCTTACATTTGACTAGGGCCATGACATTTTTTTTTTTTCAACTTTATTAACTCTTGAGTTCCAAGGAACGCATCATACGTTCATAGGTTACTATCTAAAAGCCCAATGAACGCATGATGCCCAGATTTTATTACTTTCTTTACTACCCTCCTGGGTCTGTGATGCTAAACCCCCTGGGACTCAAAGAGTTAAGCATCTAAAAACTAAAACATTGCTCCATAAATAGGTGTGACAAGGGTCAATTGGTCAAGTGTAATAGTTTAGTAAGGCATATCAGATCAAACTGTGATCCATAACCCAGTTATTTGTAGAAGTCAGGGTGACTAATAGACCTAAGTGTGAAGAAGTCATGTTTCAAACTGATAACCTCAAGGTCAAGTGACACACATTATGCTGTCGGTATAAATGATGTTATGTCACTGCTGGTATATTATGTTAATTGAGATGTTACATAATGATATAAACATGTCTCATAAGTAATTAGGGAAAGAAAGCTTAGATAAACATGGCACACACTGAAGAAACAAACAAAAAAAACATGAACATTAAAAACATAGGTAACCCATCTAGAGTTTTGCAAAGAGTATGAGGATAATTAAGTACACAACTGAAGAGCTATGGATGGTGAAGACATACTGCTCTGAATTTCGTACAGGAGAGTGAGATAGTGAGGGTAAACAGATACACAGGCAGTGAGAGATAGACAAAAAGAAACAGGTATGGAGGAAGGGAGAGACAGGTAACAGTAACACACAAAGTGATATACAGAGTGAGTGAGGGAGGAAAGGATACCAACAACAAAAAAAAGAGAGAAAATGAAGGAAGAGAGACAGACACACAGAGATGATACAGAGAAGGAGTGAGAGAGACAAATATAGAGATACCATAGAGGGAGGGATAGGCTCCCAAGAGGATAAACATTCACATAGACAGAAAGGCAAACACAGAAAGATGTAAAGAGAGGTGGGGGAGAGAAGTTAACAAACAGTTATAGAGAAATGTACACAAGCAGTTGGAGAGAAAGGCAGACCCTAAGATGTATAATAAGATGGTCATAGGAAAAGGGCAAACTGGTGGTTAAAAATGTAACTAATAACACGAAGAAAAATAAAGTAAATTATATATACAGCTGAAACTGAATAAAACATTTTATTTCTCAGTTACTTTGATAAAGGAAATCCGATTTCAAATCAAATAATGTAGCTTTGTACGCCATATTTTTTTATTCACTTACTGTATGTTCCGCGGGTGCAAACTGTTTGAAAGTTGTAGACATGCTAATTGGGGGGATCACGGCCATTGAATTCCATTGTTCCGGCTCCTGTCCTTCGTGAATCACATCGGTTGAAAAGTGTGGAAATGGTTTAAAGCCTTCCATGTTCGCAAAACTGGCAGCTGTTTTATGATAGTATGCGTTTTGCAACGTTTGGAAAGTGAGTCTCCACAGAACTGCAGTGTCATGCAGTTGTGCATGTGGCTTAAGTAACACGCGAACAGGAGATACCACGAAATTCATGGGTAGGCTCCCTTGGACGACACGCCTCTAGGCTAGCGCGCCGGTCACAGAAACTGCGTGATAGTTTACACCTGTGCTTTTTCCACGTGAAATAAATGGGCAGATTACATAATGAGAATAGCAAATTATTAGATTGTTAGTTGCCTCTCGTCCCAATATGGGGCGCAATTCTTCGTATTTTTTTTTTCAAGCTATACATCGGTTGTAGTCAGGGGCCCTAATATGAGCTAACGGTTAAATTTGGTTTCTAGGACTTGTGCCCGGGTAATCCTCGTCCAAATGCAAACCTGTTGGAGATGACTGCTTGCTTTGACCAGAGCATGAGGACAGCTTCAGTCCCAGAAGAGTGGATGCACAGCTACCTGATTCCACTTCCTAAACCTAACAAGAATCATTCAACACTCGGCGGCTTTAGGATCAAAACCCTACAACAAAAAAAAAAAAAAACTTTGGTAAAGTGCTGAAGATAGTGACGGGTAAGCTACAAGAATTTTGGAAACAGAGAAATCTCTTTCCACGAGGATTGGGAAGTTACCGGCCGGGGAAGGACACATGGCCAAATGCAGCCACTTTTGCCGTTGATACCTTCGAAGGTTTCCAGAACAGACCGGAAACGGTGGCAGCGGCACTTGGTTTAGAAGACGCTTACAACATAGTCAGATACAGTATCTTGATGAAAGCGCTTATGGAGAAATGAGTTTGTTCCTGGTTGGTGAATTGGAAAGCATCCGCTTTATATACTCGCCGGGTAGCTCTCCGCCTGGGCTCATGGATCTCTGAACCATGTATTATAGCTCCAGGACTGCTGCAGGGTCTGCAATTTCCACTGTACTATTCAATGTTTTTACTAGCAAGATTGCCTGCCTGGAAACATCTGGAGTTGGCAGAATATTGACATATGCAGATGATGTTCTTGTGTATAGGAAGGGGAGAGATCGGAATAAAATAACTGAAGAGTTACAGGCAACAGTAGGTAAGGTGGTCGACTGGTGTACAGAGATGAGTGCTGTAATCAACCCAGAAAAGGCTACCGTCCTGTGGTGTTCTTTGGACAACAGGATTGTTAGAGCTGATGTTCCTAGAGTCAAAATAAATGGCAGGGACATCAAAAGAGACAACAGACTGCGATACCTGGGAATCACCTTTATTATGGCCTGGAGAGAATGAGGCACCTGGGTGTCACCAGAGGTCTAGCCGGCTCACAACACTCAGAGGAAGGCAAGACGGACATTTAACCAGATTGTGACCGGTACCATAAGTATTGGAACTCTGCGCTGGCTGCTGAAGATGAGGACGGAGCATGCATGGGAATGCCCCGAGTGTTGTAATGTCAATTCTTGACTCAAGTCAACTCAACTCCTTATCAAAATTTTGGCACTTTGTGTCACCGTTCGTTGGTCGCTCGATGTATGGTCCTAGTGGGGTTGAACGACACGCACACACACATAACAAGGAGCGGCTGGCTGAACCATTAAAAACATTGAGAGCTTTCAAGAAACTTCGGTTCGAATTATCGGTAAGATGGTAAATTAATTTTTCTCTGTTAGAGACAAAAATTCAGTTCTAATCTTCACAGTCCGAGGCGGTCCCTTATCCTCAGGTTTAAGATCCCACGTCCTTTAAAACATTGATAAATAAGGGGCAATTTGATATCACAGCATCAAGACAAAATCTCATAAGCACTCTGTTCCCAACTTCAGTAGCGATACTGTTCACTCTGCCCTGTGTATGACTTTTTCAACCGTCTTTACTTTGTAAATACAGAAAATCTGACATCACAACACTCGGGCAATCTCTTAAGCACTCCATTACCATCTTCAGTAGCCATAACTATAACTCTGCACTGAGCATGCCTTTCTCCGCCGCTCTCAGTGACAGTCAATTTTGCTGAAGATGGGGCCGGGGCGCTTATGAGACTCAACAAGTCTATGCAGCACCCACTGTGTTGGAAACAGACAGATTCTCTTCAACTGCTGCATCTCTG